TGCGATGGGTAAAACGTACCTGGAACACAGCATATCCGACCTTTTTTATCGTCACAATCTTTTACACAGCTTGGTTCATTAGTCTCGTATTCATCTCTGTTGCAGTGATTTTTACGGCACTGGCCATTACAATCATTTTTACACGCTTCCTCATCTAAATTAGAATAAAAGTTAAATATGTTAAAGTTTGATTTTACGGATTAAAGTATAACCGTAAAGTAATACAAAATTAAGCTTGTTCATGATATAAAAAACATATAGGTTCTCAGATTGTTAAGTGAGAAATCTTACCTGGCACACAACACCTATAATCCGTTGGACAACTTTCAACACACTCATCTACGGGTTCCGCATCTTGTTCGCCACGTTTGCAATGTTTACGACATGTACCACCACAGTCTGATTCGCAGTTAATTACTGGCTCGTCTGTGGAAAAAATACACATATACACTTTGTAAAATCTGAACTCACAAGCACAATTCACTTACTAAAATGTGATGCAATTAGTGCAGCGATTATGAATGTTTTATGTGAATGTTAAACCATTATATATTGTCCACAAAATGAAATTATAATGTTTACCTTTCACACAACATATCCGACCATTTTGGGCATCACAATCGTCCTTGCAGTAATGATTATTTGACTCGTATTCATCCTTATTGCAGTGTTTTTTACGGCATTGACCATCACACGTATCTGCACATGCTGGCCCCCCTACATCAGTAAATATGAAGAATGTTCACAGCAGTATATTATATAACAATACATAATTACTTTCATATCACCAGTAGCTAATGTATTCAGTTATGCCATTATTTTAACTGGCTTACATTTTATTAACTACAGTGAAGTAGGTTTGAAATGTAAGGTAATCTCCGTCGTCTTCACGCTGCAGACTCTCCTTACCACATATAGTCCTGTTTCTCAAATGACGTATGTGTAACGAGACTTTCACTTACTTCACGTCTATTATTTTGTGGACAGCTGTTCTCAAACCAGACATTACAAAATAACAATTCAGTTAACAAATAGTTATCACCAATATTATATTTCTAAAGGAAATTGTTCATTTTGAGAATTACAGTAACAGTGTGTTACGTTCTAGTAAGAGCAAGAATGTATCATGACAGATCGTAGTTGAATATAATATATTACACTTACACTTTTGACCGTCGGTAGAAATGGCAAACAACTGGAAATAAAAAGGGCCATTATTTAAAATTACA